GAGAGTGGTGGTCGGTGATGACGGTGAATTGATAACCTTCTAGGTATGGCCTCATTTTACGGATGCCCCAGAGGACGGCGAGGCACTCCTGTTCGGTAGCTGGGTAGCGTTCTTCCAGGTTGGACAGGCTTCGGCTGGCATATGCTATGACCCGTTCTTGTTCCGAGTGACGTTGGAATAGTACTACGCCCAGCCCTTCGCCGCTAGCGTCTGTTTGTAAAAAGAAAGGTCGGGTGAAGTCAGGGCAGCAAAGTATTGGTGCGCTGGTGAGTTTGTCCTTTAGTGCCTCGAACGCGCGTTCTTGCGGCTCGCTCCACATCCAGCTTTGACCCTTTTTGAGCAATTGGTTGAGGGGAGCGGCGAGCGTTGAGAAGTCGGCGACGAAGCGACGATACCACGAGGCGAGTCCGAGGAAACGTCGGAGTTCTCGGATATTTTGTGGTGCGGGCATCTCGCGTACTGCGGCGACTTTGCTGGGGTCAGTTTGAATTTCTTCGGAGCTGATGACGTGGCCTAAGTAGTGCAATTTCTGCTGCACAAAGCTGCATTTTTCGAAATTAATTTGCATTTGATGTTTCTGGAGCCTTTCGAAGACTTCGCGGAGGTACGACAGGTGTTCGGAAAAGGTATCGCCTAGTATGATAATGTCATCCAGGTACGCGAATACTTTAGGTTGCAGGTCGGGTCCGAGAATGGAGTCGAGAGCGCGTTGAAACGTTGCGGGCGCGGAGTGTAGTCCGAAGGGCATCACTTTCCATTGGAAAAGTCCTCGACCGGGTACGGTGAAGGCGGTGTATGGTCGCGAGTGCTTGGCTAAAGGTATCTGCCAATACCCATTTTTGATGTCGATCGTGGAGATATATTTTGCCTCCTTCAACTGGTCCAAGATTGCTCCAATCTGAGGTAACGGGTATGCGACTGGTTCGCTGGCGGCATTGAGCTGGCGGTAATCGATACACATGCGTCAACTTCCTTGCTTTTTCCGAACTAAGACGATGGGGGAGCTGTATGCGCTTTTGGATGGTTCGATCCTTTCCCCCGCGAGGAGTTCGTCCACTTCGGCGTTTATCACCTGCTGCATGGCAGGGTTGCGTGGGTAATAGCGTTGTTTTAGTGGGCGATGATGCCGGAGTGTGATCTCGTGCTCGGCGGCGGTGCTGGGCCCGGTGATTTTGGAGAATCGCTCTCTGTGAGTTTCCAAAAAATCGGCTAGTGTTTTATTTTGTTCCTCGTTCAAGTGTGCCCTTTCAATTAGGCTGCATAGCGCGTGTGTAGTATCGAGTCTTGGCGGTGGGGCGGGAGCTAGTGGCTGGTTGTCTAGTGACACGACGATGCCACGCTTTGCCAGGAAATCCATTCCCAATATCATGTTTTCAGCCAGATTGGGGATGACGGCCACCAGTGTGTCTGTTGCTCGCCCGTTGTATTTAATTTGGACAGGATAGGAATGGGTGCTTGCGACGCACGTTTGGTCGGCTAGCTGCACGTTTCGTTTGTTAGGATGTGGCTGAATGTTGCGCTGTTCCAATTGCTTGCGTAGATATTCGTTGATGTATGTTAAGGTGGCTCCAGTGTCGATTAGGGCTCGGATGTTCATGCCTTCGACCAGGACGTTTGCATAGAAGCGGCCATCGGGGCCTTGCCAGCCTGGTTGAGACGTGGTTGGTTGATCGGTGGGTGACTGGAAGATGGCTGTCCTCTCCTCGTGACACGGGCAACTCCTGGAGAGGGTTCCATCTCGTCCGCATCGTGAGCAGAATAGTCGCCTCGGACCTCTGCACTTGAATCGGCGGTATCCGCGCTTTTTGCACCTCCAGCAGGTGTTCTTCGCATCGTATCGTTCGAGTGGAGTGGATAGGCAGTGTGCTGCTTGCCTGGTTTGCCTGGCCTCCTCGCTTTTGAGCAGCTCATATTCGTCGGTGAGTTCCATTAATTCTTCGATAGTATGGAACTCGCCCCGTTTTATGAATAATCGGTACTCCACTCGCAAGCCTTCGTAGATGCGCTCCAAGTGGTCGTCGCTGCACATCGTTGGGTGCTGTCGGATCAGCGTTTGGAGGGCTAGGATGTAATCCTTGGCCTTCTCTCGGCTCTGCTGTCTCCGCTGGCGAATAGCGTCTTCCAGCTGACTGACGTGTCGACGGGGAAGGAAGAATCGCTCAACTTCGGTGCGGAATATAGCCCAGGTGGTTATGTGTGGCCTTCGGACGCGGAACCATTGTAGTGCTCTGCCGCGGAGTATTTCGGATAAGGTTGGGAGGAGTTGGTCTGGCGTGATTTGGTAGCATTCCGCCAGCTCCTCAATCCTCTCCAAGAAGTCGTGCAGAGTGTCGCCACCGGAGTAGTGAACATCCCAACGGCGGACGGTGCTCACTACCTCGGCGCTGCTCATATGGTCTCGTTTCTGGGCGGTTGGCTTTGCCCCCTCGGCGTGCAAGAGAGAGCCACCAAGCTTAATTGCCGGAGTTAGTTCGTGTGGTGATTTCACCATGCTAGCTTCATCGGCAGCGATCTCCATCTCCAGTTCTCTGAGCAGGTTTTCGGTTGATTTGCGGTTTCTCTTTGCCCTGACGAAATTACTGAGAGTGCTGCGCAGATCGGCGACGGTGCTCCCCTCAACGGGTATATGATGCCTCTTGCATTCTTCCACCAATCTCTCTTTCTTCAATAGATATATCCAGCCAAGAGAGTCAGTGTTTAGTGTGGTGGTATCATTTTCGCTCATCCGTGTGTCATTTACTTGTCGTGGTGTGTTCGATGAACCCGCTTCCGCAGTGTTGGTGCTTGTTGAGGTTTTTGCACATGCGCCTGCAGAGCTGGGTCCCTGCTCGGGCGCCATTTATGAGGTGGGTTTTGTCGAAGGCTGAGGTATGCTCAGCCGCTCCAGAGTCCAGCGAAGGTCCCACTAACCCCCACCAAATAAAACACAATGATTTGTGTATTAAGTCGAACACACCCACACACACACGCGGCTATCTAGAAGGCCGGCAACTTGTCGTGCAGGGGAGAGCGGAAGGTAAAGAGCGAGAGTCGGCAGTCGGTGTCGGAGATTATCCGGCGGGTAATTGTACGGTGACGGGAGTGTTACTAGTGACAGCGAGATTAGCAGTGGTACGTGTCAGTCGTAGCGAAGAGCGTGGCAATGAGAGCAGTCGCGGTGGTTGTGACGGCGACGGCAGCCTGCAGTTCCCTTGCAGTGGTGGTGGCGGCCTCAGCGGTGACGTTGGCAGTGGCCCATATAATGATGAGGGCGGCAGCGACCTCCCGCAGTGGTGTTGTATGCAGCCCCGATTGTGGCGAAGGGTAAATGCGGCCCCTTTTAATTACGACGGTGACAGCGGTACTGGGCGATGATGGTAGTGGCGATTACCGTACTCGTGACGGGCAGTAGTGGTCGGCCTGGGGCGACGATAATGGCGGCGGCCCCAGTAATGAAGACAGTAGCAGCGGGCCCTGATGGTGGCAATGGTGACAGCGGCCCTGGTTGGCGATAGTTAGCGTTCGCGGTCCTCGGTGATGATGGCGGGCGGCCCACGGTTGTAGCTTCGGCCTTGGGGCGGCAGTGGTAATAGCGGCCCCGGTGATGAGAGCAGCGGTACGGGCCCTAACAGTGACGATGATTATCGCGGCGGCCCTGGATGACAGTGAATAGCGGGCGGTCCTCGATAGAATTGTCGGCCTTAGGGCGGCCGTAATAGTAGCGGCCCCCGGTGATTAGAGCGGCGGTACGGGCCCTAACAGTGACGATGATTATCGCGGCGGCCCTGGATGGCAGTGCATAGCGGGCGGTCCTCGATAGCATTGTCGGCCTTAGGGCGGCCGTAATAGTAGCGGCCCCCGGTGATTAGAGCGGCGGTACGGGCCCTAACGTTGACGATGATTATAGCGGCGGCCCTGGATGGCAGTGCATAGCGGGCGGTCCTCGATAGCACTGTCGGCCTTAGGGCGGCAGCAATAGTAGCGGCCCCCGATGATTAGAGCGGCGGTACGGGCCCTAACGTTGACGATGATTATAGCGGCGGCCCTGGATGGCAGTGAATAGCGGGCGGTCCTCGATAGAATTGTCGGCCTTAGGGCGGCCGTAATAGTAGCGGCCCCCGGTGATTAGAGCGGCGGTACGGGCCCTAACGTTGGCGATGATTATAGCGGCAGCCTCAGGGCGGTAGCGGTACTGGCGGTCCAGATTTGTTGATACCTACGGACAACTGATGATTAGTACGGTCCCCCAGGGCATCGAAAGGTTGCCCAGTCCCCCCGTATGTATTCGCGGCTGCTAGGCGCTGCAGGGAGGTGGTTCCCTCCCCTTCAGCGCCCGCTAGCCGCGCGGTATCGCAAGCAGGCAGGGGTGTTCGGAATTGGGCAAGCCCAAACGGATCTCGCCCCCTGTCTGCTTGAGACCGTAACCAAAAATGGGACTAGCCCATAATGGTTTTGGGGTGTTGCCTGAGGGGTATTCTCCCCCTTGCAGCCCCCCTCAACCAATCAGTCTTCCTCCGAGGAGGAAAGCCAAGAGCGCCCCAAATAGGCGCGAAGCCCAGGCTGCGCTCCGTGCTTACCTACGGACAACTGATGCTGGTTGAGTTCATGCTGGCAGCTTTAGCTCTGGTTTTGTATGAACCGTTTGAGAAGTGAATGGGCTTATTTTGTGTTATGGCTTTTGCGCAGTGAACTTCTTCCATCTGTTGGTGCGCATGAGTATCCAAGTTGCTGTTTGTGAAATCTGCATGTGCTTACCATGCCAGCTTCGCGTATGCGTATGTACGCCTGTATGTATGTACATAGGGGTGCTTTTAGTCTTGTTGGTATGTTAGTTTGTGTGTACGCCTACCAGTATGTATGTATGTATGTTCATATATTGGTACCTATGTGCAGTTGTAAGACGTATGCTAGGGTGATGTTGAATATGTTATTGTGGCGTAGGCAAAGCTACGTTACAAGATGTTCTTTCGAAAAATGAAAATTTGATTAGCTTTCTTTCTATTTTTTTTTTACATTTCCAGGGAGTTATGGCGACAATCTGAAAGTAAAATATCCTGATGAATACGACCTAGTCTTCCGTCTCAAGTTGCCGGAATATAAGCGCATAATTTTACTGAGGGACCAAAGGGTACCCGGAAATGTCATACTTGATTTTACAAACGTATTTCACACAATTGCAAACCAAAAACAACATGCCGAAAGCTATAAACAATTAAAAAAATGGGTTACTGAGAAAAACTTTCTTTCGGTTCGACTTCTGCAAAGTTGGTTGGAAAGCCGCTTTACAAAAGCCTTAAGCGATCTAAATAAACAAGTTATATATGAAAATGTCGCTTCAGCTATAACATATAGAAAGCAAGGTCCAGCGCATACGATATTTATGAATAATCCATATAAATATTCAGTAGATTTCGTTCCAGCAATTGTTTTGAGCTCCTCACAAGCTTTATTAAACACAATTACGGGCGATTGGGATGCCATTCCGAAGCCGCTGAAGAACACACCAAGAGAAATTTCTTTTCGAGCATCCTATGACTCTCTTGAGCATGATATTATAAAGGATAAGAAAAGCTTAAAGAATGCATTAAGGATTATGAAAAAATTTCGAGATAGGCACCAGAACATGAGTAACCTAAAAAGTTACTATATAAAAACTTTGTTCCTATGGAGAGCATCTAAAGAGAGGACATATTTTTGGAATCAGTCCATAAGCTGTGTTGTAATAGAAGTAAGTATAACAATGCTTCTGAACTGCGAGTATTCTTCAGCAAAAGCTATTAGTTATAAACTAACTTAATAGGCCTGTTCAATGAGTGCACTAAAAGTATAGACAGAGATGTTAAGTATTTAAAATACAAATACAAAATATAAAACACGCCTGGCAATGTCTGTAAGAAATCATTCCTTCAGAACTGTAGGTATTCTTCAGCGAAAGCTATTAGTTATAAACTAACTTAATAGGCCTGTTCGATGAGTGCACTAAAAGTGTAGACAGAGATGCTAGGTATTTAAAATACAAAAATACAAAATATAAAACACGCCTGACAATGTCTGTAAGAAATCATTACTTACTTATAAACTACAGTACAAGTATTTATTCGTACAGTGAATTTGGTTTCAGTTAATGAATACTAACTTATAAAAATTTGCCTGCCAAAGACAGCTTTATCTGTTTGGAAAAATAATTAAAAATAATCATATAATTAGAAATATTCAAGCAATTATAAACAATCAAACAAGTAAACATAACACTGGATCACAAATTTTAATTTGGTTTTTGGTCTCCAGACGCCACTTCCAATTTCTATGTAGAATTGCTCGGTGATTCCGAAATTCGGGTTAATTTTTTTGTCTATGGATACATTTTCGAGATATTTGTAATTCACCGTTATTCAGCTTTAAGCAGAAATTGGTTCCTTTTAAGCACGTATATCTTGCGAACCAATTTAAAAAGCTTAATATAAAAACGGCAAACGAAAGCCAATGAAATTCTCCATACACTGTTTGTACAGAATTTCGTAAAGAAAAATTTTGGCTATACACTTCTTTTCTTTATCCATAGGTTTTCCGATTTTTACAGAAATCCGTAAAGCCAATAAACATATGTATAGTTTATATTAACGTAATGCATTAAATTATACCTAATGTTAGTTTCAGAAACAGTTCTAATTTATATTTTTACAAATTGGTTCAGAAATATGACAAAAAGTCATGTTTCGCTTTACAAATTATAATTCTTAAAATATTGGTATCAATCGAATGTTAAAAGAGTTTATTTCTTAACTACATACAGCAGGGTTGCCTCCTAATTAAAAAAAAGAATTCCATTTGTATTAAGGGAATTAGGTAATTGAAATAAATAGGTATCACCATATGGGACTCAGAGGTTTAAGAAGGTTACAGCTTATAAATATTTGAAGAGGGTTGCCACCTGTTTAGTTAAACTCAAATAATAACTGTTTCAAACCAAATGTTTACGACATCGTATTTGTAATTTTATTGCAAATACATACATTGTCGATCTGTGATTTGTTCTGATTACATTCTTTTATTTCCGTTACCTTATCCCCTTAATTAAAGTGAATACGTGTCGTTTAGAAGTAACGCTTTTTCAAAACCATTTCAATGGATACCCATATTATAATATCGATTTCATTTAACTTATTAAAAAATTTTAATAAAAGTTGTAATAGAAGGCGAGTCTTTACAAAAAAATAAAACATTACTGCACATCTGCAGGCCAAGCCCTGTCATTTGACACCTCACTTTTGAAAATAGAACGAACTATATGTGCATACCTAGTATGTAAATGCCACAAGAACCCAAATTGTAACTTCAAACAGCATTTACAGTGAAAATATGAAAGTTGTCCAAAAAAAAGATTGCATTTTTGAATTTAACGTCCTCAATTTTACTAAGAAGCGAACTTTCATTTCAATCCGTCCATAATTCTATTTTTGCCCACATTTTATATAGAAGGGAAGCACTGTGCGGCGGCGACTTTGCCGATCACTTACAATAGGTTTGTCCCACGGATGCGATGTAAACACATTATTTTTACATGTATAATGCGTTACTCTATATCCATGATAAATTTAAAGTGTGATGTCATAGGTCGATTTTCGCCAAAACTTTGACATTTTTGCGCGGTTGTAAGCGGTACATTGTCCCGCTAAATAAGTGTAAGTGATAAATTTTTGACATCGTCCAATGTTAATTGATAACCACACAAAAGGCCAACGACGATAAGGTAAGGTTATTTTTAATTTTTTTATAACACAATGTGAACCCTCCTGATACCAAAAGGTCCCACGGTGCGATGTAAGTGTTGTTATTTGTTAATCTACAGCAGTAAATTTAAGTCCCCGATATGTTGTCTTTGACGATAAAATCGGCACATTTTTACTGTCGCTTGCTCCCGGACTATTCCCTAGAACACAAAACAATGTTGAGGCATCATCGGATAAAAGTTATCGGTGGGAAACGAAATTCAGGATTGTAAAACTTTATCAAAAGCTCAACTCACGATAATTGAAAATGGCAAAAAAATACACCAAGAGATAAAAGCGTATAGAAAAATTAAAAGACATGAAATTAAAATGAAAAATTACTAGACTTAAGTCATGTTTGTTTTCTAAAAAGAATTACTAAACATTTAATTGTATATTAACTTCTTTGAGCTTGTAAAAATACAGAATTTGGCACAAAATAATTTTGAATCCAAAGTTTTATGGTGCATTTACATGGTATGAAGCCATTTGAACTGTTGATACGCTAAAATAGAGGGACTACATGTTCCAATGAGGAATTCAATGATATCGAGTGGGATGCATATAATACATTTTTTCATATGAAAAATTATGGGAAGATACTGTAAACATACTGTGATACTGTTAAGCATATGAAATTATAGCAAGTTGGATTTTCATACATCTTCCCATAAAAAGTTTAACAGATGCAGAGATACCAAGGAGGTTTTTCCCCTTTTGATCCCTTCAAGATATATCATGTATATAAATTTAAAAATTACCGCAATTTAAAATTCTTAGAGTTTTGATAGTTTTGAATTTTTTGAAGCTCCCCATTTTAAATAACTTGAGTGGAATTCCAAAATTTTCTAAACTTTCAAAACTTTGTAAATTTGAGAAATTTTAGTAAATCACAATAATTCAATATAATGATGAAAACTAAATTTCTAGAAATTTTGTATTTTTCAAAAACTTTGAGAATTGTAGGAATTCTAACAAATTTTTTCTAAGTAAAAGTATCGAATGTACACAATTGATCGAACGAAATTTAAAGTTTTCGAATGTTAAAAATATTTTCATATTTCGTCGTTTTTGAAAGTTTAAAAAATGTTCGTAATTCATGAGGATTAAAAATTTTTTAGACGTTGATGTTTCCAAAATTTTCAAAAAATTTAAAATTATCAAACTTTGTTATATCAATACAAAATTTTGGAAAAGTTCCGAAAAGTGGAAAAATTTTGGAATTTTTCAAAAATGTTAATATCTTTTAGAATTCTAAGAATTTTCTGTTTTTTTTACACAAGTACCATGAACATAAGAATTTTTCGACAATTGGTGAAAATTTCTAAAATCTCAATAATTTTGTACATTTCAAAATATTCTCATTTTACCAAAATTTGTAGACTAGANTTTTCAAAAATGTTAATATCTTTTAGAATTCTAAGAATTTTCTGTTTTTTTTACACAAGTACCATGAACATAAGAATTTTTCGACAATTGGTGAAAATTTCTAAAATCTCAATAATTTTGTACATTTCAAAATATTCTCATTTTACCAAAATTTGTAGACTAGAGGATTTAGATAGTTTTTGAAATTTTGGAAATTATCCTAAAAATAAGAAATCTCAAGAAATTTAATAATATTAATTTTCGTTGTTTTCTGAACCTGTGAAAATATTCAAACTTGCTGTGACTTTCAACTGTGTAAAATAATACAAATTCGAAAATATAACAAAAATGTAAAAATTGAAAATTAAGTACATAATTTAAAAATTTTGAAAATTTAGTGAAGTCGAAAAACTGATAGGCCTACTTAAATAACATAATACTTCGAATTAAAATTTTCAAAAGCATCCATTCATTAGGTTTGTTCCCCAAGCTTGTCGAAGTCACTTCGAGTTACATATACGCGCTCCGCAAGTAAGTTTTCGAGTTACTTTGATATACGCTCACAGTTTGAACTTTGCTCGAGTTTTTCTACAAGTAGCTTGTGGAACAAACCTATTATATATTCTTGTAATGATATTTCACGATATTCAGTTGAATATTATGAAAATACATGTTACACAGTCTTGGGGGGAATTTCCCCAATTCCCCCTAACTAGGCCCGCCACTGCTTTATATCACATTTAAGTAAAAATAAGCCTATACCTTCCAAGCTGGCAAAGAAATGGAAATGTGTATTTTTTGTTGTTTACACAAAAACTTGCCAAATATATGTACATTAGACTGCATCACTCCCCATACAAAAAATAATCGGTACTATTTTTCCATTGGAATTATAAAATATACTATATTTCAAGACGTCCACCAAAATATTTCGGAAAAATATTAAGATTAAAGTGAGCTGGACCGATTTGAAAATACCTCCAAAAATGTATTTTTTTATGAATAAAAATAGTTTCTTAAAGATTTTTTTTGAAAAAATCCCCTCAAATGACAAAAAGGTTTAAATATTTGCATTAAAATATTAAAAAAAATTGAACAAAATTTTAACGGAATCGTAATGATGATGCTGTTTTTAACATTTTTCAAAGATTGGTATAAGAAAAACTTGAATAACTGAACCTAAATTCTTCCGATTTAGACTTAAGAGGTGTCATTGGAAAGGTATTTTCTCACCCTTTTCATTTATTTGCTAATAAACTTATTCAAAGGATGGAAGAGAAAGGTAGGAGAAGCGAACCTCATTCAAAGTTGAATTAAGATGTTTTGGTATTCGAAAAAAAAGATGGGACATGAATGACGTTTCTTTTGGCCAGAAATGAAAACGGTGTGAAAATACCTTTCTACTGAGATCCCATAAGTCTAAATCGGAACAGTTTTGGCCCAGTTATTCAAGTTTTTCGTAAATCAATCTTTGAAAAAAGTAAAAAAACAGCATCAAAAATCTCATTCTTACGATTCCGATGAAAAGATTTTTAAATATTTTTATGCAGATTTTTTAAGCTTATTCTAATCTGTCATCTGAGGGGACTTT